GCCAAGAGCGTCGTGGCGGCCGGGCTCGCGCGCCGCTGCATCGTGCAGGTGTCGTACGCCATTGGGGTGCCAGAGCCGCTGTCTGTGTTTGTGGACACGTACGGGACCGGGAAGATACCAGACAAGGAGATTCTCGAGATTGTGAAGGAGAATTTCGACTTCCGTCCCGGGATGATCTCGATCAACCTTGACCTCAAGAGGGGCGGCAATGGGAGGTTCCTCAAGACAGCAGCGTACGGCCACTTTGGGAGGGAAGACCCGGATTTCACTTGGGAGGTCGTGAAGCCGCTGAAATGGGAGAAGCCCCAGAACTAGTCACCCTTTGGTTTTCGTTATATACCACTGGTATTGAATCAATAAATACTACTGCATGCTTTCTTTTTTATCCTTTTATATGCTACATATATATATATATATCCATATAATTGTAGGAACCTTTTGTGGTAGTTTGGTTGATATATAAGTGGTTTTCCGTGTTTGTCTTATCAACAGCTGTAAGAGTATGGAATACAAATCCTATTGTATCAGCTGTTTGAAGTGGTCTTTATATGAAATGAATGAATGAACTGTTTGTGTTACGCATAAATCTGATCTTCCTTTTCGTGTGAAATTCATTGTGATATATCCAAAATGTTGGATGACTGAGTTTGAAAAGTTTTCTTGCAATCTTCTGGAAAGTGTTTAAGGGTGGCAATGCCGGGCAATGGCGTTAGGAAATGAGACTAAGAAAATGGGTGGAGACTCGACTTTGTTTGAAGTTCATTGTGTAAAAACTTTAATTTGCTTTAGAATTAATTGGAATATTATATGTTCTGATTAAAATGTTTGATTGTATTATCTTTTTTATCTTGATTTTGGATGATAGAAGATAAACATTTTAAATAAGTCTTGTAATAAGCATTAAAAAGTTGGTTGTGAAAAGCTAAAAGATACTAAGATATTTATCCAACTTGCTTTTTTGGAGCAGGGAAGGTGACGGGTCGTGTGAGTTTTGTTGTTTATCTTAGTTGGTGTGTTATTATTTTTAGTTGGTGTGTTGTTGTGCAAAGGGTAAAAGGTTCGATTGAGTGTGACTACTTTGGCCCGTTGGTGTTGGAGTTTGGTTTTCGTTGTTCCTTCTTTGGTGCGGTTGTTTATCTTGCTCACTTGTGTGTGGTGCTCCAATTTCCCTGCTTTGTGGGTTGTATTTTAAATGATTGTGTACTTGTGTC